CATGTCTGATATTGGGCGGCTGTTCCGGTTCGGATTTTTCCAGTTATCGTTGAGTTTCCATTTTGCTGGATGAGTTTGAAGTTGTGGAGATTGTGGTGGGGTTTAGGAATCTTTCGGGTTTAATCGAATGATTAATCGTTGGGGAAAATCAGATTGGGGGGCGATGGGGGATTGATATCGACGAGATGGTGGTTATAGAGGTGGATATTTGGGGGTAATTGAGGCGATACGAAAGCTTTACGATCTTCGAACAATAGTGTCTCAAATGGAAACGGTTATGTCACTAGACCGATGGACCGTGGTGCTACTCCACTTCGTTCGGTTAGAACGCGGGTTTCGGGCTCTCCAGCTCATGTGGTTGTTGGACAAAGATATACACTACTCAATAACATTCACTTGATAAAACCGGAGCCTCAAAGATCTCTTCCGGGGAACACTAATTTTTTCCCTCAGCGAACGAACATGTGGAGCTGGTTGCGCTTGCTGGTGCAGCACGTGTAGGGGCATTACGGGTTGATGAAAATATGACTTCCTCGGGTTTTGTGGAACTTTCTTTGATTAGTGATTATACCGGAGTGATGCAGGTTTTTAGGAAGTGAGGAAGGAAAGGCCATTCTCTCGTTGAATAATGGGGGAGTGGAGGTGATAGGAATGGTGTGAGTGAGAGAAATACATTTTTCATAAGATTATAATGGAGTTTGCACTGTTCTTACGGCGATTGTTAGGCGTTATTTATCCAGCGCAGTAAAAGTCTAATTTTCAACACATCGTTTTATAATCACCTTTCTATAAAAAAAACTATCTGGGAGGTTTCATCCTGAATTTAATCACAATCTGACATCAATTATAGAAAAACCAATTTTCCAAAATCGAAATTGGCAGATGACGTGGTAGAAACTGACAATAAAAATCCGGAAACACCCAAAACAATTACTTTTGGTCATTAGAAAAAGTAATTTTACCCAGCACCAAGGCGTTTCTGGGGAAAAGGCACATTTTTGTACTTCCTCGAAGTTACAAAACAACTTGATGCAAGTATCATGCGTCAAGTATCTGTGTACTGGTGAGAAGTACCTCAGTACTTGTCACAAGTACGTTTGTTACTTGGGACAAGTAAAAAAATTACTTGTACTGAGTACCTGGCTGGTTCTTTTCAAAAGTACCAAATAAAGTCAAATAATTTAATATAAGTTGAGTGTAAGAACTAAAAAATGTTTTTCGTGAGAAGACCCAGTAAACCGCGATTCTAACCTCGCTTCGCTCGGCTTGATCGCGGTTTACGGGCCTTCTGACGAAAAATTGCATTCATCACACGGTCCAAAAGTATTTTCTGACGAATGTGATTATATAAAGCCACATTCGTCAGAAAATACTTTGTGGACCTTGTGATGAAAGTAACTATTTCTACCTTTTTTAAAAACCGAGTTTCGTCAAAAATTCAAAAATCCAAATAATTCCCTTTTTGTGAGTACCTAATAAAATTGAAAAGAAATTGAAAACAATTTTTCGAAGCCTTTTAGATGTTGATAACAACATAAAACATGAAAACCTCAACAAAATTGAAATTTTGCAGATTGGAAGCATACCAATAATTCTCGGAAGCATCTCTAAAAATCGCAATCTATTGATTTTTTCCTACAAAATATCTCCTGCTGAACATTTCTATTGACAAAAATGCGTAAGGAAGCCCATTCTATCCGGCAATAATATTCACTTTTCTCAATAAAGTAATCAATTGGAAGTACTGAAATTAAGTCCTAAAAGTACTTGGTAGAAATTGAAAAATTACTTTTCACTAGTACCTTTGGTACTTGTGAAAAGTACTAAAAATACTGACGGAAAATAATGAAGCTACTTCCAGTACCATTTCTACTCGACCGGCAGATGTGGTACTTCACCCAAGGACACAAAATGTACTTGGGACGAGTATTTTTAGAACTTTTGAAAAGTGAACTTCCCCCAAGTACCGGTCGGTACTGGTGAGAAGTAATTTTTTTTTGGGAGTAAAAATCAAACCAAATTTCCTTGTACCCAGTCCCATCAATTAATTAATTCTCCCGAGCCGGAAACATCGTATGCAAAGAGATTTGTCATTGAAAATAAATAGCCGAGGTAATTGATACATGATAATACCGCCTCAAATAGCCGCCGAGTAATACCTGATTTCTATCATTCTCAGCGGTTCGGAAACGACTCTCAATCCCCCCGATCATTCCCCCCTCCGTTTTTCCTGTCTCTTGAAATTGTAATTGGTTTTCTACAACGGCATGATTCCAAATGATGAATAAAACGGGAATTCCCGCACGGTGGTCTCTACCCAGCTTCGTGCTCACTAGGAAGCGATTTGAATCAACTCCGAGGCAGCCATTTCTTGCTCAACTTTTTCACTCCCATTGGGTGGAAAAAAATTATGAAAAACAATGTCAATTGATGCCGTGTGTACAAGCGATAAATTTGTTCAGAGTTTATTTCCTGCTTGTGATATTATTTCCTTTTATTCCCGAGTTGGAGACGGTGACTCAATGAATTGCCAATTTGTTTCGCGGGAAAAAGTTTCACCATCTCGTCTCTGCGCTGACTCTCTTCCTTATTCTAGATTAACAGCGGGAGATAAGTGGAGAGTCAATCGTCAATGGGGGGACGAATTCTTGGAGTGGGAAAATTCAGGAGGTGAATTTATACATGAGCTTTGGGATTTTTTTTGTGGAGACACTTGGAGAAAGATGATACTGAAATGCAGGGGAATTGTTGCAACAATTTCCCTGCATTTCATGCCCATGGGCAAGATGACTTGATTTAATACGTCAGTCGCAAGAATGTGGCTTAATGGTCATCGGCGCGATGACTGGACTTTCGAATGTGTTAAAATGAGGAGGTTTTTAGTGTATAAACGAGAGGTCACGTATGAAAAAATTCAATAGAACCCTATTTTTCATCACAATATGTAAAATTTCACTTTACGCACAAGTGATGAAAAAGTGTTTTTTGACCTATGAGTTATCTTCTCAAAGGTGAAAGAACACTTTTCCCATGATCGTCGAACCCTATTTTTTATCACAATATATTAAATCACAAATTGCAAAGGGGGGATTTTTCGCAGGTGGAGCGTAAAATTAGACTTTATGCATAAGTGATGAAAAAGTGTTTTTTGACCCGTGAATGTCGTCTAGCGCTCGCCAGAGGCGAGTGCTACCTTCCCAAAGGTCAAAGAACACTTTTCCCATGATCGTCGAACCCTATTTTTTTCACAATATATTAAATCACAAATTGCAAAGGGGGGGTTTTTCGCAGGTGGAGCGTAAAATTTCACTTTACGCATCAGTGATGAAAAAGTGTTTTTGACTTGTGAGAGGCGTCTAGCACTCGCCAGAGGCGAGTGCTGCCTTCCCAAAGGTCAAAGAACACTTTTTCCACGAATATCGAATCCTATTTTTCATCACGATGTATTAAAAGTGGGATTTTTCGCAGATGGAGCGTACCTAAAATTTTACTTTGCGCACAAATGATGAAAAAGTGTTTTTTGACCCGTGAGAGGCGTCTAGCGCTCGCCAGAGGCGAGTGTTACCTTCTCAAAGGTCAAAGAACACTTTTCCCACGGACGTCGAACCCTATTTTTCCTCACAATATATTAGATCACAAATTGCAAAAGGGGGATTTTTCGCAGGTGCAGCGTAAAATTTCACTTTACACATTAGTGATGAAAAAGTGTTTTTTGACTTGTGAGAGGCGTCTAGCGCTCGCCAGAGGCGAGTGCTGCCTTCCGAAAGGACAAAGAACACTTTTTCCACGAGTGTCGAACCCTATTTTTCAGTACAATGTATTAAAAGTGGGATTTTTCGCAGATGGAGCGTACCTAAAATTTTACTTTACGCACAAGTGATGAAAAAGTGTTTTTTGACCCGTGAGAGGCGTCTAGCGCTCGCCAGAGACGAGTGTTACCTTCCCAAAGCTCAAAAAACACTTTTTCCACGAGTGTCGAAAGTTATTTTTCATCACAATATATTAAAAGTAGGATTTTGCGTAGGCGGAACGTGTGTAAAATTCCACTTTACGCACAAGTGATAAAATATCCTATTTTGTGAAAAATCTTAAATTTTCTTCTATCAAGTTTATTATTTCCCCTCAAGTAAATCCCCGCTTCATCAAATATTTTCACATGGACCATAACATTTTCCCCCGGCCTAACTTTGTCTCTCAGTCTCCTCCCATTCCTTATAATTGACTTTCTCCCCAAAGCCGAGAGGATCACGAGAAAAGAAAACCCACTGTCCCAAGCCCGCGCAATTAATCGTAATCCTAGCTGAGCAGAGCAGCTGCCCACTAATTAATATGACCCACGTCACTGCACCTAAAAGATCGCTGAGCGCCCGGGGGGTAGAGTTGCCCCACTCGTAACGCCAGACATCTCTCCACTTTTCCACGCGAAAATTCAGAAAAAGGGGGGGAATAAAAAGTGAGGCTTGAGTGATTTATAGAAGAAATGATAGCGACTGGTGTCAGTAGAGGCCCGAGAGGTATTCCAGAGGTTCAAAACTGGGGTGAAGGAACAGGTTCTCTCGCTGTGTCCAATCCCCCCTTCGGAAAGAATGCAAAAAAATGCTATCAAATTTATTTTCATCTCTCTCCACTCGGTATTCAATTTTAAAACCGCTGTTTTCCGAAGAATTCACAACACGAATTTTCGATTGTATAAATAATCCCCGGAGTTGTCCTTGAGGTGCATTATCCGGGTCTGAATGCCGAGGTGCAAGTGATAAATGCGACCGGTTGGTTCACTTACAGTTCTCCATGCACTCGGAAGATGTTGTCCGGTTGTGGGTGGCTCTGTTACTTGATTTATTCAAGTTGTTACAAATCGTCTACCCTTGAACATTATCTCCATCTGAAATAACGAGTTAATAAATTTAAAACTTGAGTTGTTATATTGTTGATATATTTATTGAATATGAGTAATGATTGCGGATGAATGTTACTCATTTTTTTCGTTATTTTTGTTGCAGATGGAGGGGCAGTTCCTGAAGACCAGTCTGGCCGTGAGGTAAATTGAAAATCATTATTTAAGACGATTTTTATAAGAATCATGTTTATTAATGAGTGGATTAACACGATCCATTCGAGAAGTCTATTGGAGTTCTTATTGTTTTCTGGTCGATTCTATTGAAAAATTCCACATCTCATTTGCGTGTGTTGACAATAGAAATATTAAATGTTAGATATTGCATTAAAAAAAACAATAGAATTTGATATTTTTAAATTAATTATTCCATTGAGATATTTTTTATGGAAATTTCTGGGTTCTTTTTACAATTTTTTTTTCTTCGATTTTTTTAATGAAAAAAAAAGAAAAATTGAGTGGAAAAATAGGAAAATTCATGTCCACGAATTCCCATAGAAAATATTGAACATTTTCGTTTCCAAACATTGGACATTTTCTGCAACAAAAATCCGTAGAACTCTCCGAATTCTTTAATAGAATTCGAAATTGAAAATCAATGGAAATCTAATAGAATTTTCTATGAAATTCACTAGGTTTTTCTACAAATTGTCGGTCGAGTCTATTAAAAAATTCTGCATTGTATTACGTTTTTTGTTCAACAGACATGTTCAACGGAAAATATTCTATGGAGAAAATCAATAGAAATCGATATTTATATACAACTTATTCTAGTGGGATATTTTCTATAGAAATTCCTCTCTTCAAACCTGCTACGTTTTTTTGTTTGTGTTCATAAAAAAAAGAAAAAAAATAGAGTAGAAAAAACTAAGGGAATTCATTTCGAGGAATTGCTATAGAAAATGTCTCAACCGAAAAAGTTCCACTGATTTTTTTTGAAGAATCGTTTCTATTGGACGTCTTCTATAGAAAAACGCGCAGGAAACTGCGGAAATCTTCAATAGAATCAGCCAAAAACTAATAGAATTTCAAATCGAAGGTGAGGGAATAAGGTTTCCATATTTAATCGCTTCATATTTTTTTCTCTTCCGATCCTCTGCTCCTTTTTCATAAAGTTGATTGACAATGAATGATTGTTTTGATCGTTAACTTTTTATTCGCCTTGCGATAGGTTGATGGATCAATCAATGATTTCCATGACTACGAGGATTTTATTGTGCGTTACAGCGCTCACTTGAAGTTGGTCGCGGGCGACAGCGCGCATGATTGCCTAGTATTCCAAGAAATTGATTCGTTCACTGACCCAACAGTGTTATTCCAACTTAACTAATTAAAACAGAGTCAAGATAAAATTAAAATGAGATCTTAGAAGAAATATTACATAACTGACGTTATTTAATTATCGAGGAGAGTAGGCAGCGTGCCTAGGTGTAAAACAATGAACACGTTCGTGACAGCGAAGAGATGAATAAATAAAAACAAAATAATTAGTTCCCTTATTACCGTCTCATAACGATTTTTTAATCTCTCCGCGCTCAACTAATTCCATTTTCTCCACATAATCAATAAAAAATCTCGGAAAATGTCAATTACATCATCTGAAAATGCCGATTTCCACCGAATGATGATTACGTCTCGAATTCTACCTCAACCAATAGCAAAAAAAATATAATAACAGTGTTAAAACCAGACAATGGATTTTTACAAACCTTCACTTTCACCGTCTAATACAGTTCTACCCACCGACTTCGGCTCTCCTCATTACGATCATCCATCTTAAATGCTTTTTTCCCACACTGATTGTCCTTAATTCGTATATAATTCATCTGCCCTCACGCTCCCACTCGACCGACGCACGCTTGTGTTAATATAATAATCATCGAGTACCAGTGCAATCATTATTGCGAGTAATAACGTCTCTCTTTCACCTATCTGGGATTGATCTTACGACAGTGTGACAGCTCCAGAGGAATCGCCAATCTCTCTGGACGACAGTATAATTGATGCTATTATAAACTCGACCGAGCAATTGAATTCATCTACATTTTCCCATACGTTCACGCAGAACAAAACTTTTTTTCGTAATAGAAGAGAGAATAAAGACAGCTCTTTGAATACAGAAAGCATTTTTTGTTGTGAAGACTCCATGGAAGTCGTTCCGTGGAGATTGAAGATGATAAAGGTAGAAATGAGACAATGACTCTTTATGTAGCTGTTCATAAATGTCATGAAGACATATTGAGCCAACGATGTAGGCGTTACCAGATCAAAACATTATGACTAGGCAATATTAGAGTCTTTCAACGCTCTAGTCGTCGAGTCTATCACATAATTTCTCACAAATCTTTCATGCTCATTGCGAAGAGCAAGCGCTAGAAGCGCAACATGTGATCACGTGACCCCCGGAAAATGTGGCTACCGCGTGAACAGCTGATCAGCGAGGTGAGACTGGCAAATGTCTATTTTTGCTCATTTACAAAACCTCAAGGGTATTTTTCAGTTTCACATGTGAATATTAAATTTATTTGCTCGTAATTAAATCACTCTTGGGGGAAAATAAATATTAATTCAGTTGCTAAAGTTGATTATAAACAACTTATTACGATTTTTTAAATAATTTTTTCTTCTTTCTTAACTAAAAAAATGGTCTTTTAGACCTAGTCTATCTGAGGTGATGAATGGCAAGCGTTACAAGCGCAACAGGTCGATCACGTGACTCCCGAAAAATATGGCTGCCGCGTGAACAGCTGATCGGCGAGGTGGGACTGGCCCGAATGTACTTTGATGTAGTAATATGTAGCTCTATGATTCAACTAATTATTTCTACTCATTTGCAAAACTTAAAGAGTATTTTTAACTTTCACATCTGAATATTATATTTATGTGATCGTAATTAATTCATCTTCGAGGAAAAATAAATATTAATTCAGTTGCTAAAGTTGATCATAAATAACTCATTACGATTTTTCAAACAATTTTTTTCCTTCGTAAACTCAAAACTGATCTTTTGGATCTAGTCCATCTGGAGTTATAATAAGTAAATTATAATCATCAATCCAAAAAAATATATTTTAAGTAAATCAGAATGAGGTTGTAACCACGCAGCCTTAACTCTCCCCTTCGGTTCTAAAATTTCACAATTGACCCGTGTGTTGGAGAGAGGGGCTGGTGACTCTCGATTTGAATACAGGAGCATGGAATAGTGCCCGCGGAGGCTGGTGGTTTGACATACTAAGTAACAATACCAAGGCGTGTCAGTGTGTTGCAATTGGTCCCAGGGTGCCCGAGGCATGTATTCAACATTGCCCACAGGCCCAGGTGAATTTTCTGAGGCCCGAGCTTATAGAAAAGAGCGGATCAGTTGAATCTTGGTATAGGCATAGCGAAAGATGGAGTACAGTATTTCACCGACAGGTCCATGCACGCGTGCTCTTAAATGTCAAGGCAGCAGTCTCTCTCTCTCTCTCTCTCTCTTCGCTCTCTTCATGACGAAGTCTACTGAAAAGTAATTTATCTTTCTTCTGCTTTTAGGACTCGGTAGCAGCTGCTTCGGAGGTGCACGCAGGTGACTACGATGACTCCGACGACTCCGACATGTACATGGAGCCAGACGGAGCTGAGTCCGCTCAGGAGGACCCGAAAACAGCGGATCCTCCGAGCGCGCCAAAGGTTACCCTTTCGGCAGTTTCATCAGTCACTTCATCACCGGTCATCGAGGAGACTAGGGTCACGGCTACAGTATCAGAGCCCGTCCAGAATCCAGAGCCAAGGCCGGACGACAGATCAATCATCCCTGACAGTCAGAACTTCTTCCCGTCCTTCGCTGAACTATTCGCAAATCATCGGCTGTCTTACGCTGAGCAACAGCAGCAGCAGAGATTCCGACCGAATCGCTTCCTCGGGTACTTCCAGAGGGATCGCAATGCTGCTTATCAAGCAGCTGCATCCAACGTGAAGGACAACACACAGCACCCACTCCTAGGGTCAGGCAACTTCGGTGTCATTCGCGGTGGAACTTACTACCCAGAAGACAAGGAAGCGGAGGAGTACTCAGTTGACGAGAGCCTGTACAATCCTTACTACTCCTCCAACGCAGCCAGAGGTCGGGCCTATTACCGCAACCCGAAGCCCCAGCCAATCCGCGATGGCGACTTCTTCGCCAACTTTCGGGACTTCGCGGACATCACAGCTCCGCCCAAATCCAGCTTCTCGCATCTGTCAGTCGTCTACGCCAACAGAAACGGGACGAAGGGTCGGGCCAACGAACCCAGGAACATCATCGAAACCTTGAGGATGCTTGAGGAACAAGGAGACGAGGATGCCTACGGGATGACCACCACCACCGAGACGCCCACCAAGAAGCTCAGTCAGGGCAAGAGGAAACTCATGAAGATGAAGATGTACCAAGAAGACAAGGCCAGAAAATCACGCATGACTAATGTCGAACCACTGCTCGCTCTCAGCTGAGCTGTCTCGATGAAAAATCGTAATGGTTATTTGATGCGTGCTAATAGTCTATGTGGTACGAGTGTTGAGAGTGCTTCGGGGATTCATGTCCCAGCGGAATCTGGCCTCGAGAGATCAGAACCAAAGTCTGAATAATTTTTCTTCTCTTTTGCAGTTTTTTTTTTTTATTGGGATTAATTGTGGGAATGCATGGGCCGATTCGTTGAAATTTTGCGGGAGGAGAATGTAGTGAACTTTTATCAACTGTTGGAAAATTCAGCAACCGATGAAGAAAGCGTACTATCGTCTTCTCCTCAGCTGGCCAATCACGAAAATATCATGGACTTGATTATTATTATTATTTGTATTATTATAATATTATTTTGTAAAAGTGAAAGTATCAATTGGTGGTATTGATGAGTGAGGAAGATTTCTATTGCTATGGAAAGTTTTCTGTAGGCCTCAAAATCAAGGAGATGGTGAGGAATTTATTGGCATTCCGCATATTTTAGTTCAACAAATTTCTTCACATCAGTGTAAATCATCTAGATTGAGGAAGGAAAAAGCGGACAAGTTGACATCGGTCTGGGATTGCTATGAATGGATAGTTAAGCTGCCAATAAATTCCTCTTTCCAGTCGACACTGAAGATTTTCCGTCAAATCTTGAGCCCACAAATTTGGACATATCCAAGACTGGTCATCATCTCCGTTGAAGCTGTTGGAAAAGTTGTATCACAACTGGATCAACAGCTTCAACCCATTGTTATGATTTGTTGTTGACTATTGTAGTTCTAACTCTAGCGTAACCTATCAACCATTCACAGACAAAATTCTCGGCATAATACCATGGAGCATTGAAGAAAACATGTCTCACGATTATAAACTTGTCATGGAGGTGATAAAACTGCCTGAATAAAGGATATTTTTAGTAAACCTTACTTTACGCCTCTAATCTCTCCCCTCCTAATTTTAGCGAACAATTTTCTTCTTCATTTCCGCAATCATATTCCCAATGCCTTGGTGAATCTCGTGGTACGTGGCTCGTGAGTACATCCACGCTGGTGTGGAGTACACATTGTACTTCTCACAATAGGTAACACCTTTTACATCCTGCTCCTCGACTTTCGCGCCCATGTCCTTGACTCTGCGGATAGCCTCAGCGTAAGGCCAGTCTTCCTTAGATCCTGAAAAGTCGTCGTCAAAATTATTTCACGTGACATTGTCACGCTTCGGAGGAGCCGACATCACCTTCCTTTCCAAGGGTGACTTTGACGCCTTCAAGAACTCTGGCAACAAGAGCTGACGCAATACACATAGTACCTATGGGTTTCTTCTCACAATTAAACTCCTCGATGACTCGCTTCAAGTCGGGTATGAGGGCACATTCAGCTCCCTTCGATGCAAAGTCACTCCTATCATTGAAAAGTGAAAGGATGTTTTGTAATAATTTTAGTTGTATCGTCTTCTGTCCCTAGTCTGGTCACCTAACGCGACCTTGCGACTTTGGTCACCTCCGCGGGGATTCCCCGCCGTGTTTTTAGGCTTGAGCGTTGCCGAATTCACTCTACACTCCCTGGGCGCGTTTAGCGAGTTTCCGGCAACGTCGCGTCGTGGGTAATTTCATTTAACATGGGAAAAAATAATTCATGTCCGAAATAATGTGTTTTCTTTAGGAATTGTGGGAAATATATTGTTCTAAAAACTACTATATTTTTTTAGATACTTCAATTGATAAAGTCAATTTTTTTTTAGTTTTTCCGGTTATTCAGTCAATTGTAATTAACCCTCCTGAACTGGCTGATTGAGCACGGCGCCGCCCGTTTTCGATTTTTTTTTTTTCAATGAAATGAGAGTCAATAAAAATCTGAAAAAATTACAATGCCTGGTTTTGAATACATTGAATTTATTGGCAATTTTTACTGCGTTCATACTCGCATTGGTTGAGTGCCAAAAAAGTTTGAAAATTCGAATGGCTTAGAATCCCCGTGTTTAACTTCTAAAATCCCATTTCGGCACGAAATCAAATCAACTTTTTGCATTGAATCGCCACTTTTTTCCTAGTTCTATTACCATTTCCTATTCATTAGAAGTTGAAACCTTCCTCTAAACCCAAAATTAGTCATTTTTCTTTCAAACTTTTTCTTTCACAAAGAAGGAGTTAAAGAAAAAGGACGCGCGGCGGCGTTTCTCTCACAGGGTGACCAATCTAGGGTTAAGGGAATACGTCGGTGAAATTTGAAAGTCTTCGCTGGGTCTTGGGAACCATTGAACAATTTGTGATATATGGCGGAATATGTGAATCACTAAACTTCCGTCACACCAAACTTCGAGAAAGATTCCAGTAAAGCCCATTGGCGATTAATCATGTTGATTTTCAGAAAATTTCAGTTTAAAAGATGACTTTTGAAAAATTAGCAGAAAGCATGAAATGTCAGTAGTTAAAATAATATGCAACAGGAATATTAGATGGAATTCGGGAAAGATTAAACGCTGAATTAAAAAAAATAACTAAAAAAAAAAGAAAAGAGAAAAAATGGAAAATTAAAAAAATGGAAAACTTTCGACGAAAAATTATAAAAATTCTATTTATGATTCTAACATGGTCCGTGCAGCTCCAAAACCCCCGGGAATAATCAAGGCTTCGCCGCACAGTGCTTTACAATCGCTCAGTGATTTTATGGACGATCTGGCTAGTCGTGCCCCCTCGACTAGTGCATTTCTCGGTAGACCGCACGTATCAGGCTCCTTCGTCAAGTGATCGACGACACCGCATATTTCCATGTCGGGAGCAAAGAATTTTGGATAGAAATTATGGTGTGAGAGATTTATAGCGAGAGAAATGGATTCGGATATCTCTGTACCATCGAGGCCACCACAGCCGCACAGAACCTGTGACGGGGATTAATTAGTTTGCGGAAGGGGGTGATTAATGATGATTTCACTCACTACGACAACTGGTGTGGGGTCACAAGTTTCGTTTGCGGTTTTATTGGTTACGGTTGTGTGGAGGTGAGAGGCGGGATTCTTGATGCATCCTGGGGAGATTATTCGGAGGGTTCGGTGAGTGATTGCACGGAGCATCTTTACTTGAAGTGGAAATTGATTGACGGTCGTATCGCTCCTATGCGATTTTAATTAATTGATCATGATTTTGCACGTGTGAATGTTGAATTTGAAGGAGACGCGGCTGAATTTGTTTCACGGGTTTGGGTACGGCTGACAGTCGGGAGAATCGGTAATGCAGGAATTTTTTTGAGATTCTTTTTTAAAAATTATCAGAAGGCACGAAATGTCCCCTGGGATGGCCGTCAATATTATATTTCTGCAATATTAGAAGGATTTGCGACTTACATCAATAAAAAAGATTGACAAAATAAAACATAATGTAATAATAATAGTTTAAATTTACGATTGACGATGAATTAAATATTTGATAATTTAGAACTGTAAATTTTCCATTAAGTGAATCTTTCCAATTTCCTAAAGGGGATTATCGATTAACCAAATGATCGGCAATCTTCTCACATAAAATATTGATTAATAAAATAGTTCAAAATTTGAATATTTGAATTGATGATTACTTAAATAATTAAAAGTTTAAGAGTGATGATAACTAATTGACGGCTCCAAAATTTAACCGTAATTATGATTTATGAATGTGGCTATCCCTGTATTTCCCTAGTTCAAATACTAAATAATAGGGTGATCTCATGGAATTATGTCTGATATGAAGATGAAACTTTGAAAATCCCTTTTTTTTTATTAAAAAAAAAATTGAAAAGATTCAAAATTTTCCGAAAAATGATGAGGGAATAACAGTTGCTGTTTTGGATTGAGCGTTGGAGCGTGGATTGACCGTGGGAAAACCTGATGCTTATTGCTAATACTTATTGATTGTGCCGATGCGCTAATTGACACGTATCATTTAATCAGTGTATCCGGTCGGATAATTATCATCGATCGGATAGTAGCTATCGACGGTCGGTATCTTGTCGACGATTTTCTTACAAAATGACTACCCAAAATACAACTACACGTATCTACGTCCAAATGACGAATCCGGAATATTCAGATCTTGAATGATGTTACACCTCTGGGCTGGAACTCTTCGTATTTAGAGCACCCTAAAAGCCCTGAATTTTAATTAATCAGAGGCACGCATCAGTTGAGGGAAATGAAACAACAGTTGGTCATGCAGGAATTTTTTCAGTGAATTACTCCGGGGAATTGACTGTTGATAATGTAGTGAATTTCATTCACGACGAGGGGCGCCACTTGATGCACGTGTGGTATGAATAACGACTACAGATTCCTTCTTTAATCACCTAGGATGAGAATGAAATGATCGGATGAGTGAGCAATTTGAATTCTGACTCTGATAAAACGTGCGTCAGGGGTCGAAGGCATGATTTTCCAGAGTAGAACGTTCATTTTTCCCCAAAATTATAATTTTTTTCATCAAACAGTAATTGATTCATGAATTATTAACCTCTCGATGCTGATAATGTACTAACTACACGAATTAAATTCTCGATGACGAGAATAATTGGTCCTCAATTATTGTTAGTTTAAAAAAAATGATTGCGAAGTAACAGAGAAGATGTTCAATCCCCGTACGAAATTTAGTTTCATGTAAAAAATTTTATACGAGTTGGAAGCAATGAATTCCGGAATGGAACCGCTATTTCTATGACTTGTTTATGAACTCCCAGAAGGAAATCATAATTCCTCACAGTCTTAAATAAAGGCGGTATTCAATTTTTCCCATTCCTGAGAATGTACTCTGTACTTAGAAAAATGGATCGACGAGATTTACTCACTGAGGTGATGTACACGCACCCCTCGGGGCCGTTAAATTTTTTTTTCTCTCCTGTATTTCAAATTGTTGCATTACGCATTACGTATTCATAGTCTGTAGAATCGATTCCGGGGCACAATAAATGTTGCAATGCTCGTAAAGATGGGGGAATAGTTGTGTTCATTTCGAATATTTTATGATTCGCTATTCCTTAATACATATCATCCTTAATACAACATCGCCTCAGAGTCAAAGGGGCGTATCTCCGAACTTAGGCCGGTTCGTTGCTACCTTTTGGGTACTTTGAATATAACTTTTTGTTGGATGTGAAATGGGAGGGGCATAAGTCCACGTTTCATGTCAATTGGTAAAATAAATTTTCATCACTGATAGACTGATTCCTTTATTGCAAACGAGATTCGTTGACTATTAACGAATGGTAGAGTTGAATATGACCAAATACGGGGAGAGAAATGTTCAGTAAAAATTACGGAACTCACAATTTGCTCACAGATTACGGAATCGACCCAGAAAATTTAAGTGACGGTATCGTAATTTTTCACAGGAGATTCTGATAAAAATTACGGAACGTTCTGGAAAAATTTCGTGACAGTTCCCTAAAATTTCCTACAACGACATTTCGCTCCGGAATTACGGAAAAGATACGTAATTTTTATTGAATATTGTTCTCCGTGTGAATATTCGTTAATAGCTAACGAATGGTTCACTTGAAAAGTGAAAATCGAGTCAAACAAGGCTCTTCAAATGTGCATTTGTTAACTATTAACAAATGAACTTTTGGGGATCTATCAGTGATCACTTGGGCATTGTTTTTGTTCCTATTTGGCTTCTACAAGTCAAGTCAATTTTCACCATTGATCAGTTTTCAATGGATATCTCGGAATCTAAGGGAGATAGCAAAATTATTGTTATAACCTTTTTTGTAGCGCCGATTGAGTGCTACAACAAATGTAATTCCGAAAATTTCGTTATCTCCCTTAGATTCGAAAATATTTCTCAAAAACTCAACTGGGAGATAAGTCGACTTAAACCATTTTACCACTACTGATTTTATTATTATAATTCGCATTTCATTTTCTCTTTTACAAAACTTTGCATTTGACGTTACGTGATATTTTTTCAGTGTCTCCCTCACACGTTCACTTTGAATAACTAACATTTTGAATATTTGAATGGATGATAACAGACGTAAAATGAAATTTTACGCACGCTCTCAAAATTATTATGTTTTGGTGTAAACTTTCTTTTTTGTCACATAAAAATTGATTCAACACGACAAAAGATCTCTTCAGGGGGACGTATAGTTTTCCGACAGAACTGGTTTATTCTCTCAGAGTAGTCAGGGATCCCCATCAATATTAAATCTCTGTAATATTACAAGGATTTAACCCTTACATTATTGAAGATTTAAAATATGTTGATTCAATTTTTCAAATAATATAGTATTAATAATCTGATTTTTTACAAATAATGATATATTTAAAATTTGTTAATATGGAACTGTAAATTTACTCCTTAGTGAATAATTCAAATTTCTTGAGAGGGGATTTTCGATTACACAAATAATCGTCAATCTTCCTACCTCAAATTATTGATTGATAAAATCGTTGAAAATTTTGAATATTTGAATTGATGATACTGGAGTACTCAAAAAATTTCAAGAGTGATGTTATCTAATTAAGGATGTTCGACACCCTTTTAGCCAAAATTGACGTTGTTTTCATTTTTCTGGTAAATTATCGATGGGAGTGACGTGAAAAAATATAACGATTTTGTGGTTTGTCATTCTTTAATGGCTCACGAAGTTGCGTAGTGGTGCGATAATTTTCATGCGTTTTTTCTACAGTTTTGTGATTCTTTTTAAAAGTTTAGAGAAAACGCAGGAAAATGTTCGCACCACCTTAAAATTTCGTCAGTCATTAAATAATGACAAAACGCAAAAACGTTATATTTTTTCACGTTAATTCCATCATAAGTTTGCCAGAAAAATTAAAAAAACGTGAATTTTGGCAGAAAGGGTGTAGAACATCCTTAAGGGCTACAATATTAACCGTAATAAAATATTACAAATTTGGCTATCCCTGAGTGTAGCTACTCGCGTACGTCATCATGAAAGAATATTTACATAAAAAAAACGTCTCAATTTTTTATCGATTCCCAATTATCTTCCCTCATCATATCGTATCCATCGGAATCAATAGCCCTCGAGTGTGCGATTGACGACACCGCCGGAAAACGACACACGCAAGCAGAAGTAGCAGCGACGAAGATAATTTTATGTAAATCCAAGGCTACCCTTATGCTCGTACGCCCTAACGCCGACGATACCTTCCCATTCCTCAGAGGTTATGGAGGTTAGAAAACGGTATGTATACTGTGGCGGAAGGGTACGAGCAGAAAATGTGAGCGGCAGAGGGGGGCGCAAGAGAGAGAGAGAGAGAGAGAGAGAGAGCGGGAGCAGTGGAGGGTGGGGGGCTTATATGAATGTTAAAATAAGTTTGAAATTGTCGCGGACAAGTTCAGCCCCATGGGGCCTACCCGTCGAGTAATTCCGCAAAGCCAGCAGTTTCGGCCCTTTCGACTTTCGAGTTGGTCGCATCGACACGAATTTTACCCTCTCTCGTGTCCCTATATATCCAAGGCCGTGGGGCTGACTGGGGAAGTTTGTCGCAATGCTGATGACGACGTTACACGAGTGTATAACATTTGTTTTCAGCAACAATGATGACAATTTCGCTAGATACAATCTCTGGCGGAGGTCTAGGGGGTCCAGCGAGCGCTAGAAATGCTCTTGAATTATCTCTCGGGGTGCACGAAACAGAAAATAAACCTGAATTGAGTATAAAATACACTTGATTCAAGCATATTTTATACACTCTAAAAAAAAGTTACTACTCACCAGTACTGAATTCTACTTGGGAGAAGTTTTCTTGTGAAAAGTTGGGACACTACTTGTCCCAAGTACTTTTCATGTCCTTGGGTGAAGTACAATATTTGCTAAGCAAGTAGGAAAAGTACTAGGAGGAAGTACTTTTATTACTTCCTGTCAGCATTTTTCTTACTTCTCACAAGTACTTTTAATGCTTGGAGCAAGTAATTTTTCTATTTCTCGCGAGTACTTTTATGACTTGATTCCAGTACTTTTGGTTGGTTATTTTGTTGGGGAATTTCATATCATTAATTATCATTCTCATTATCGTTCTCATTATCATTATCATTATCATTCTCAGATGACAATGACCAAATTTCATCGAGGGGAGGT